CACCCACAAACCATCTTCCTCACTATCGACATTCTGCATCACAGTGGTATATTTGTTACAATTGGTGAACCTACATAGACACATGATTATTATCCAATGTCCATAGTTTACACTAGGGTTCATGCTTGGTGTTGTATATTCCATGGATTTTGACAGCTGTGCAATGACATATATCCACCATGGTAGTATCACACAGGATAGTTTCACTGCCCTGAAAATCCTCAGTGCTCTGCTCATTCACCCTTCCTTCCCTTTTTTTCCCTGGCAACCACTGTCTCCACAGTTTTGCCTTTTCCAAAATGTCATATAGTTGGAATATACAGTACATAGCCTTTTCAGGTTGGTTTCTTTCACTTAGTAGTATGCATTTAGGGTCCATATCTCTCATGGCTTGACAGCTTACTTCTTTTTAGTACTTACAAGTCCATTGTCTGGGTGTACCACAGTTTATTTATCCATTCACCTACTGAAGGACATCTTGATTGCTTCAAAGGTTTGGCAATTGTCAATAAAGCTTCTGTAAACACCCATGTGCAGATTTTTGTGTGGACATAGGTTTCCAGCTCATCTGGGTAAATACTAAGTAGTGTGACTGCTGGGTCATATCATAAAAGTATGTTTAGGTTTATGAAAAACTGCCAAACCATCTTCCAAAGAGGCTATACCATTTTTCATTCCCACCAGCAATTAATAAGAGTTCCTGTTGCTTCACATCCTCACCAGCATTTGGTGTTGCTGGTGTTCTGGATTTTGGCCATTGCAATAGGTGTGTAGTGGTATCCTATCCTCTTTTTTAACATAGGCATTTATAGCTATAAATTTTACCTTCAGCACTGCTTTAGCTGCATCTAATACATTTTGGTATGTTGCATTTTTGTTTTTATTCATCTCAAAGTATTTTCTAATTTCCTTTGTGTTTTCTTCTTTGACCCATTGGTTATTTCGGAGTTTGTTGTTTAATTTCAGTGTCTTTGTGAATTTCCCAAATTTGCTTCTGTTTTTGATTTCTAATTTTATTTCATCATAATCAGAGAAATAGAATTAGATCCCTTTGTATAATTTTAGTTCTTTCAACTTTATTGAGATGTGTTTTTTGGGGCAGCCTTATCTTTCCATAGAGCCTTGTTTGATGCTTCCTTGGCATGTCCATTTGGATACCTCAAAGGAACTGGAAACCAACAAGCACAAGATCACACTCATGACACCTCACGCCCCGATCACGCCTCTTTCAGTATTCTCCACCTCAGTGAAGGTGCCACTAGCCCAGGACCTGCTCTGGCCAGAAACCTAAGATCGTCCTTGATATCTCCTTCTCCCTTTCACTCTAAATCCAATCCCTTACTGAGCCCAGTTATTTTACTTTTATACATCTTTTGAATCCAGTCACTTCTTTCCATCTTGATGGCAAATACTACAGTCTAAGTGATTACTATCTCTTACTGAAACTACTGTCATTTTCCTTAGTCTAAGGTATCACCATCTTTACAGAAATTACTGCAATTTTCCTACTAACTGGTTTCCCAACTTCTACCTTTGCACCCTTCCCATACATTTTTCTGCATAGTAGCCAGTTTCTATGTTGAAAATGTACTGATGTCGCCAACTTTCTGCTTAAAATTCCACCGCATCAGGAAAAGACCCCTAATGCCAACATGGCCCACTGGCGTTGCCTGGTCTTGTTCCTGCTGATCTCTGTAGCCTCACCTCACCCTTTGCTCTTTGCCCTCCAGATACACAGGCCTGCTTCAATTCCTGAGCTGCCTCGTCCTCCCTCCTGCCACAGGGCCTTGGTACATTTGTACCTGCTGTTCCCTCTGCCTAAAACTTTCTCCCTCCTGCTGCTCTGTTAAACCCTCTGTATTCTTCAGATCTCTTTCAAGCTGCACTTCCTCAAGAATGTTCTCTGCATTGGAGCCCTTATTTGGGCTCCAGTGGAGAAAATATAAATTTGTTAGTATAGTTCATTGTTATTATAAATTTATTATACATTTGTTAGTATGGTTCCTTGATTAATGCCAGTCCCTTGTAAACTCTGTGAGAAAAAAAATCCTGTCCCTGTTTGTTTACCATAGTAGCCCTGGCACCTGGCACAGTGCATAGGCAGAGGGGCGCAACAAATATTTGATGAATACAAAGACCAGTCCCTCATCTTAGACTCAGCTTCTCCTTTGAATCTTCTGCCCATCCTTGCTTCAGAGCAGAACCCAGGCCAGACTCACCACAGGGTCTCCAGGTGGCAGCGCGGACGACTCAGGGTCTCACAAAGACTGTGCACTGCCGAGCGGCTCAGTGAGTTTCCACTTAGGTCCAGCTCCTTCAGGCTTCCAGAAACCTCAAGAACGGAGAAGAGAACCAGCCAACTGGCATCTGTGACTGGGGCCCATGTGAAGCTGAGGGAGGGAGAGAGGAATGGGAAAGATGTGATCTGTGTGTGTGGGGTCTGATGTGGACAGCCCTTCACTACACAGTGGGGGTTCTGTCCCCCTGAATACCAGGCCACAGTGGGCAATGCCATCCCTGGGACTGGCGAGCCTCCCCACCAGGCCCTCTGCCTCTGCCACCCTGGGCTAGGAGCTCCTGCTCTGTGTGGCTCCTCATCCTACAGCTCTTACCATACCATACTGAAGCATTCATTTTGTATGTCTGTTTCTGCCTTAGTCTGGCAGTTTCTTGAAGGCAGGGGAAGATACTTGTCATCCTTTTTATCTTCAATGCACAGCTTGGGGCCTGGCACAGAGCAGGAGCTTGGTGATTTGGACAGCCTTCCTCTCTTTGATGCAGACACACCTATTTTCCTTTGGCACAGACGTTCTGTACTCCCAGTGCCCAGAAAGGAGAGGAGGAGATGGGAGGTGGGCACAGAGGCTGGGAGAGGTGATCTGAGGGTGACTTTATTATGGAAGGTTGTATGTGATCCTATATAGTGTTGTCTAGGTTGGCTTGCATGGGACCCTGTCCCCTTCCACAGATAGCAAGACCATAGAGAGGGTCTGCAGGAAAGAGGTGGCTAAGGGAATGTCTTAGGAGAGAATATTTGCAGCCTGGTGGGGAGAGCACAATGGACTTGATCTGAGAGTGTTAGAATAGGCCCTGCCCTGCATAATTTCCACCCATTTAATTTCTCCATATTCATACACTGCTTTAGTGACCTCATCTACTTCCCAGGGCTTCACCTTCTTAAGCTGCATTCCAAGTTTTGGACTAATATTTCTGTTTTCTCCCTTCCAAGTACTAACCGGGCCCAATCCTGCTTAGCTTCCAAGATCAGATGAGATCAGGTGCTTTCAGGGTGGTATGGCTGTAGGCAGATATTTCTATTTTCTGGCCAGATAGCTCCACTAACTTTTTGACCTAATACATCCCAGTATGCCCCCAACCTTAATTCATCTTCCCCGTAAGTCTGCAGAGCTGTGCGGAGGCGAGGAGCAGAGGCCGGGGAGCCAGCCACCTGCA